ATTTAAAGAAATAACTGATACAGAAGGACTTGCTATTACCATTTTTAAATTGTTTTAGTCTATCTTGTATTTATTTTGTCCTTCATTTCCGCTCTCACTGCCCTCCTTTGTGTTTCATTGATTTTTTTTTCCAGTGACATGCTGATTTTCTCTTGCACATATTTTATAGGTATTTTCTTTGTAGTTACTATGTGTATTACATAAAACTTCTTATAATTATACCAATCTATTTTAAACTGATAAAAACTTAACATCAGTTAAATACAAAAACTCTACTCCTTGGGCCGGCCGAGTGACACGATGGTTAAGAACTGGCTTGGGACGCCAGAGGGCCCCGGTTCGGATCCCACATATGAGGGCCAGTGACACTGCCCTCCATAGCTAAGATGCTGAACAACAGCTCAACCTGGAGCTGGGCTGCCGTGAGTCGCCGGCAATGGCATAGGCTGCAGCCCCTGAGGCAGTGGGTTGCCATGGGCTACCGTGTGTAGCCAGCAGCCAGCGTGAGCGGCCAGCAGCCGCAGTGAGCGGCCAGCAGCCGCAGTGAGCGGCCGTCCAGAAGCCGGCAACTGATCTGCCTCGCCCGGGAAGAGCGCAATGATGGTGCCAACTTGGGCCAGTGAAGCAACGTCCTCCACAACTAGACTGAAGAACAAAACGACAGCAACTTATCTGTTTCCCTTCCCCCAATTCCCCAGCACTGTTCCCATTCCCCCAATATCCCAATAAAAATCTTTAAAAAACAAAACAAAAAAAACTCTACTCCTTTATATCTTCCCCCTCACTTTGTTATTGATGTTATGAATAACATCTTTTTATATTTTGTAACCATTAAAATAGTGTTATATAGTTTTTAAAAAATCCTTTTGTCTTTTAAAGTCTACACCTGAATTTAAAGTGATTATGTACCAGCACTATGGTGTTAAAGGATTCTGGTTTTTTTGTCTATATAGTTATCTTTATCATAGAGCTTTATATTTTCAAATGCTTTTGTTTTGTTACCTAGTGTCCATTCATTTTACTTTGAAAGACTCCTTGTAGCAATTCTTGTTAGGCAGATGTAGTGGTGATAAACATTCTCAACTTCTGTTTATCTTGGAAGGTCATTATTTCTCCTTTATTTTTTAAGTCGTTTTCCAGATATGGTTTTTATGGCTGACTTTTTTTCTTCTTTATGCACTTTGAATATATTATTCTAGTCCCTTCTAGCCTATAATGTTTCTGCTGAAAAATCCACTGATAACCCTATGAAAGTTTCCATATACATGATGAGTGGCTTTTCTGTTGCTGCTGTCAAGATTCTTTGTCTTTGATAATTTGACTACAATATGTCTTGGTGTGGGCCTCTCTTTATTTATCCTCACTGAAAGATTTTGTGCTTCTCCAATTTGGATGTCCATTTACTACCTTGGATTTGGGAACTTTTCAGTCATTATTTCTTAAAACAAGTTTTCTGCTCTACTCTCTCTTGTCCTTCTAGGACTTTCATAATCTTTATATTGCTCTGCTTAATGGTATCCCATAAATCCTTTTGGCATTCTTCACTTTTCTTTACTCTTTTTCACCTCTCTGACTGTAATTTCATATCACCTATGAAATTAGTTCACTGATTCTTTCTTATGATTAAGTCTGCTATTGATCCCTTCTAGTAAAATTTTCACTTAGTTATTGTACTCACCTGCTCCAGAATTTCTTTTTGGTTCTTTAAAAAAAAAAAGTTTCTATCTCTTTGTTCATATTTTCATTTCACTCATACCTTATTTTTTTTAAAATTTCATTTAGTTTCTATCTGTGTTCTCTTGTAGTACACTGATCTATTTAAAGACAATTATTTTGAATTATTTGTTAGGTAGTTCACATATCACCATTCTTTGAGGGTCAATTTCTGGTTTATTTTGTCCCTTTGATTGAACCATGTTTCTCTGTTTCTTTGTGTGCCTTGTTATTGTTGTGAATTTAGCATTTGAAAATACAGCCCCCTGTTATGAACTAGCTTTCTACAGGGGAAGACCTTCACCAGTCAGGCTAAGTAGAGATCCTGGGGCCTCTCAAAACTTTAATGGAGATGTGTCTTCTCTGGGCCAGTGTGGGTAATTTCCCAATTAGAGAGGTTTGCTCGTTTCTTTTTCAGGAACTTGTAGTTTCATGTTCCCACTATTGTCTTTCTTCAGTACTGCAAGTTTTGTTTTGTTTTGTTTTATTTTGGCACTCAACAACTACTGAGCTCTCTTTTGTTTTTTGTAGCCCCTGGGTACCCACCACGCTCTATCAGTACTCTGACTTCAGTGAGACGAAATCTAATCTCTTGGGAAGTCCCCTGAAAAGCAGGAATACAGGATATATATTCTTCTCCTCTCTCCCTCTCATGAAAGAAGATGCAAGTTGGGCTTTCCTCCTGTACATGAGCTATGTCAATTTGGGGGAGGAGTTAAAATAAAATAAAATGGCTATTTTTACCCATTTCAATGTGGCTGTTGTGGGCTTTGAGTTTGCCTGACCACTACAACTTTTTACTGGCTTCTGGAATTTTCATAAAGGCTTTCTGGACCATATGTTGTTGTTACATCAGTGTCTCTGTGGGGGAATGACGTCTAGGGCTACCTATTCTGACATCTTGCTGATATTACTCTTCATCAATTCTTTTATAGAGTATTTTTCCATCTTTTTCCTCTCAATGTGACTATACTATTATATTTGAAGTGAGTGTATTATAAATAGCTTAGAGTTGGGTCATGTTTTTTAATCTATTATGCCAATCTGTAATTTGAATTTGTATATTTAGAACATTTACATTTAATGTAATTATGGATCTATTAGGGCTTAAGTCTCTTTTTTTTTCTTTTCTGTTTTTTCCTGTTTTATTTTTTCTCTGCCTTTCTATGGATTACTTTAATTATTTTAGCATATTCATTTTGATGTGTCAATAATGTTTGAGTGTATCTATTTGCATAGGGTTCTTTTAATGGTTGCTTTGAGTGTTACATAGCTTGTCACAGTTTACTGGTGTCATAATACTACCATTTCAAGAGAAGTATGAAAACCTTATTTCTCTTTATATCACTTTATCTTCTCCCAGTTATAATTGTCTTAAATATTTCCTCTCTATATATGTAGAACCACATCAGACAATGAAACTATAATATTTTCTTCAACCATCAAATATAATTTTAAAAATTCAAGAGAAGGAATGTCTACTGTATTTACCTATATTTTTGCACTGTGTTCTTCCTTCCTTCCCTATAGTCTAAGGTTCCTTCTTTTATCATTTGCTTTCTGTTCAGAGAACTTCCTCTAGCCATTCTTTTAGGGTAGGTCTTTTAGGATAGGATAGGTTGACAAATTCTTTGTTTCCTTCTTCTAAGAATGTATTAATTTCCCCTTAAATTCCTGAAGGATACTTTTGCTGGGTATAGGATTCTGGATTGCTATGTTCTTGTCTAGCAGCACTTGAAAAAGATTCAGGTTTCCTTCTAGACTCCACAGATTCCGATGAGAAACCCACTGTCATTCACATTGGTTTTGCCCTGTAGTTATGCTGTCATTTCTCTCTTGTACTTTTCATAATTTTTTTCTTGGCGTTTAGTGCTCAGAGGTTTGACTATGATGTGTCTTGTTGTGGATTTCTTGTGGTTCACTCAGCTTCTGGAATCTATAGGATCAAGTCTTTTGCAAAATATGGAAAGTTTTCAGCCATTATTTACGTATGTACTTTTTTCAGCCCTGTCCTCTTTCATTTTTCCTTCCTCACTGGACTTCAATTGACACAAAACGTAGAGTGGGTGTGTGGCTCCTTGTTAGTGCTTGGCAGTGGTGGGAATTCTGGTCCCCACATGATCTCCTCTGACACCACAGATGAGGGGTTTCATTATCACCCAGTAGGGTTAAAAGTTCCAGCTTCCCACTCAGCCTTTGCTCAGTGTAGAAGACTGAAACTCCCTTGTGGGGAATCTGAGGAACCTTGTTACAGCCTGACAAGAGTGAAAGTCTAGGTTCCCCTCTCAGCTTTTTCTTCAGCGGGGTGGGATGGGGCCATAGTTTTTATCTGTGGTGGTGAGAGCTAAAGTAGAGAGATTATTTTCTAAAAGTTTTCTGTCTTGATAGGCTGCCCCTTTTCTCATACTTTGGCTACAGAGAGGTAGCTTTTGTTGTTGTTTTTCTTTTTTTGTCTGTGCCCATTGGCCGATCCAGGTTGCCAGCTTCTTCAGCTCCAATTCTGGGATATGTGAGGCAAAAAGAAAACCTAGGAAACTCACCACCATGTCATTCCTTTGGTCTTGGAGGCCTTGGCAGTCTGAATTCTCTCCATCTTTTCCAGTTATCTTGTGTTTGTTTAATATATAATATCCAGGGTTTTAGTTATACTCAGTAGGAAGAATAGGAAAAAGTACATCTACTCTATTGTCCCATAAGCAGAGCTCCTTCCTATCTTTTAAATACCATCTTTATCTGTTGCTATGTCTCTATTTTCATTCCCAACATTAGAGCATGAAGTGGATTGCTACAGGAAGTAGTGACATTTCTGGTGCTTTAAGTTTTGAAGCATATTTAAATAACCACCTGATGGGAAAATAAAACAGTGATTTGGTGGGGTTCAAGAGATGTTGGTAAGGGCCTTTCTAAGGCTGATAATCTATGATTTCCACAGGAATTCTTCCTTGATTAGTCTCTCATGATTTTTCATCTTTTGAATTTCTTCTGCTTTTATAATCTACATGTATTGGGTCATCAGGAAAGTCATGATGCATTTTTGATTGAAAAACATAGAAAAATACATCATGACTTTCCCGACGACCCAATATTTATTTTTGTTATAAGTCTATATTTTCATTTGTTTCAATCTTCCATCAATGTTACAGTTCTTGGATAGAAGTTATGTCTCATATTTTAACTTTTACTTAAACTGTCAGTCTGCCTACAGCACAATTATGGGAAAGTGTAAAAAGTCAATGAAATATTTTTGATGATAAATTGATAAGACTCACAAATTACATCCCACTTACCCAGTAATAATAATTTCTGGATATGTTTGTGTTCCAAGGTTCCAAGCTCCTCCAGTGATTGGCCACTCCTAAACAGATTATCCAGGAAGAGTTTATGAGTTTTATGTTTTTTAATTTGAATAACTTAAAATTTTAAAGTAAACATATTTTAAAATAATGGTTAAAATTTCCCTTAAAAAGCAATAGCTTTCCCTTGAAAAGCAAGTAATGGAAGATGAAATATGTGGCTATCTTTTAATTCTTTCATTAAATAAACAATTCCAAATGCATAATTCCATCACCTTTAAAAATATCAATTTTAACAAGTATTACCATTCATATAAAAAAAATCAAAGAAGTATTTTTAATTATACAAGAACAGTGTTGCAACATTTGCCACATAGGCTGTGTACCACCCAACTATTGTGGTGCCATTTAACACAGAATACTACATAAATCATGCTGCCCTGAAGCTGTCCATCCCAGTAGACCTATACAAATAATAAATATCATAATAAGTGGTCTATTACAACTGTAAGTATTTGAATCCCATAGTTAAATATAACAAAATGGAATTCTAGAAAGTTGTTGAACAAACGATCTTTGATAATTATGTCTTGTCAACCATTGATTTATACAAAATGTTAACTAGAAAGAGTTGACTTTTGAATTTCATAAAACATAATCTTTTACCTGAAATAATTATAAATTACATTTTATGATTCAAACATATTAGTTTAAATATATATTTATTATATTCATGATAGATAAGTATGTATTAGTATATAGTTATATACTTATTACATAAGTAACTTATATTCCTGTATGCTTAAAGCTATATAGTATTCAGGAAATTTGAATTTCAGAGATTATGTCTTTTACAGATGCCAGCTTATTATGATTTCAAAAGAATTTAGTTAAACTATTCTTATATGGAAAGTCAGAAAATAAAATAACAGGAAAAAGTATAATCATATGATATGAATATGAATACAAGACAACTTATTTTTCATTGTTACTTTTACCTTATTACTGTATCCTTGTTTTTTATGCTTGACTCCTATAGAGTAGAGTACTAGAATCAAATCTGGTGGGCAATCAGCAAAATAGGCTGTGCATGTTACTGGTGATTCATGAATGTCCATGGGATATGGATTTTCAAAGATTGGAAAACTAATAAATGAAGACAATATATTAGTGTCATTTTGCAATGATAAAAAATGAAATAAATTTTATAAAACAAAACCTAAAATCTTCTAAATATTAACTACATGTTTCATTTCATTGTTTTTTAAGCATCATAAAACCAGGATCACATGAACAAGAATGCTCTTTTAAAAATATTTATCTATAAAATGTATAACGAATACAGGTAGAATTTTACTTAAATAAATTTTTAATTTTCTGTAATTAAAAAATGCCACAGTGACATCATTTTGCTAATACAGATAGAATGAACTCTGGTAAACTGAAAATATTAAGCAAGTTGACTTATCAGTCAATACATTAAAAGATAGCAATGAGGTGCTTTATCTATGTACAATTTATAATCTAAATATTTATATAACATACTTATAAGTATTAAAATATCTTAGCAAATTTGACATGTTTATTCCAAGAGAGATAATATATAAGTATTTCGGTTTTGTTTTTTGTAGGAGTAATTGAAAAATGAGTGTGATTATATATGCTTAAAATGATTTCCTATGTAAACTACAGAACACTATGGGAATGCAGACTTATGGATGCAGTAAATTTCATATCCTCATGCCTACTATAATTTTAAAAAGGAGTATCAGTACAAAACCAAATTAAGAATTCTTATAGCCATAATATATGGTGCACTTCTTAGGTACCAGATGTACCAGGCACTGTAGAAAAAATTGAGTATTATTCTACGCTGCATCTGTTCTAGGTTTGTGTGATCATGTTCCTTCTGATACAATGTGGTTTTTTTGGGGGAAAGGCTATTAAAAATAATTTTCTCTACCTATTAGTGGGAACTTAATTAACATTAACATGACTGAAAGGTAACTATTTGGAGGGAAGAAGAATATATTTAGTCTCTGACATGTTAAAATTCTTGTAATAGACAATGAAATAGGAATGTCACATAGATTTTTAAACATGGTACTGAAGAAGGTGAAATGTTAGATAAAAATTTGCAAACAAAAATGTCAATTGACATGCTTACATAAGGTAAAGAAAAGTATAAGAATAAATGTATTAAAGTGGGAACTTATGTGTATTTTGTACAATAAAAGTTTAAAACAAAAGAATAAATGTATACACTAAAGAAAGTGAGTATTATGGGTAAAGTATAGTGGGCCTTGGAGGTTGTTAAACAGCTTAAAGAAGGTATGAGGAACCAAAAAATATGGCACAGAAAGATGAGTTGAGTACCAATGAGATCAGAAGAATGCACTTTAATAAAACCTATATTAGAATTTAGAGAAAGAGGAATAAATCCATACATGTATGCAAAACTTAATCAGGTTTAATATTGATAAATGTAGCAGCTAGGCAAAGTTCAGTTATGATTACCATATGGCCCAAATCCTATATCTCTTTCAAAATATTATAATATTATATGCTGCAAATGGTCATAAAGAAGAACTTCAGCTTTTACATTTATAAACTATATCGAAAGTAAAACTCAGACTGTAATTCATTCAACAAAAATGTATTGATAACTTAGACCATGTGGAAACAAAGCCCCCTCTTTATGAGGCCTACAATCTAGTAGGGAGACAATCTTTAAAACAATAACAAATGGAAAATTTCATCTTTGTCAAAAGCTGTGGAGAGGAATGTCGAAAAACTCTTAATAGGATATTTGACCAAATTATATAGATGATGAAAGGTTTTTTTAAATGAGGAAATGATGTCTGAGTTGAGATTCTTATAGATAAGATGTTAATAAGGAGAAAGAGGAAAGGAAAATTTTTCCATGCAGAGGAGAGAGAATATACAGAAGTTCTAAAAATACAAGAGGCTAAAAGAAGATCAGTAGGTCTAAAACACAAAATGAGGGAAAATCAGTTCTATGCCTATCATCATTATAATGAAAATGTGTAGCAGGAAGACAGTGTTCATAAATTTCAAGTCTATATTTTACTGTTCATGTAAAGGAGTAGAGAGCACCACTCCTACAGCAATATTTTATATTTGTTTCCATTGCCCACACCATAATGAACAAGCAAAGAATGTAAAACAAGGCCTCCAACTTCTCTGCCCCCAAGATCCTCCTCTTTTGTACTGACTGCTGCAGGAGTCCAATAATACTTTTATCATGTGCCATTTTCCTTTAGTCAATAGACTAGCAGATGGCCACATAGTATATTGTACATGTTTTCTTAACAATTGCTCTTGCTTAGGGAAATAGCAGAAATGTGATCCATTTTGTGTGTCCTGAGTCTCCAAACTTTAGGTGCTGCCTTTAAAATCTTTTTTATTTTCTCAGTGTCCCCTGAATTTTTCTGGTTAGTTTTCATTATTGAACCAAATTACATGTCTGTAATTCTAGCAAAACAATAGTCCACATAAAGAATATTTACCATCTACAAATACTAATGCCAATTATTTACAATGTCCTCCAGTATTCTAACTGTAATGAGTGGAGTTTTAAAATGTTAGTTTTTAAAAATAGTAGTTATTCTGAACATGGAGAGCTTACTTGCTTTGCGTCAGATCAACTACAATGAGATCTTTCTCCAGAAGTACTACGACTGCATAGGGTTCTTGAAATTCTGCAAGTAAAAAAAAAAAAAAAGGAAAATTTTCCATATTCCACATTTTACAAAATCATCAAACTTACATTTTTTTATCTGCTGTACAAATGTTATTTAAATGTTTTAAGAAGACCAAAATATGAACTAAAGTAAGAAGTAATAAGAGCACTTTTAGAAAACATATGTTGTGTTTCTCAAACTTAATGTTTACAACCATTACAGGACACAAGGAAAAACTGAGAAGTTGTATACCATAGAGCTAAATATATCTCCAAAATAATGAGGTGGTGATAGATTATTGGAAGAGAGTGAGTTTGTAATCTCCATCTCACAAACATTTCTTCTTCCATAACCTTATATTTTAGATTTAATTTCATGCCTACAAGGAGATATACTAAGGAAATAGTAGTTCTGTGATCTTCTGTGATCTGTGATACATATTCACCTCTCTATGAGAGCAACACTCATACTAAAAAGTTTGCATTTAATTTAGTTGCATTTAATTTAGTGTAACTTAACATGTACTTAAAGATTGCCTACTCTGTGCGCAATGGTATATACCTCTCAAAAGCAGAGAATCTGAGGATAGTCTAGGATTTTCAAGTTCTTAAAATTCAGCTCTCCCTTTCTCCTGCCTCCCTCCCTCCCTTCCTTTCTTCAATATGTTCCAGAAATTTTGTAAGAAGAAAGGCTATGTGGAGAATAAGATGGACAAGGTCCTTGTTCTCATGGAGTTTATATTCTAGGGATGCATATAAACCATGAACAAGTAAACAAATAAGATTAATTCATAAAGTAATGTGAGCTATGAAAAAAATAATACGAGTAGTGGTGTAAAAAATGACTTATGGTTGGTGGGGGAGTGCTAATTTAGTTATAGTGGTTAGGGAGGATATTGCTATAATAAAGGACTAATTTGGGAAAGCCACAGTAAAGTGTTACTCTCAATTTAAAGAAAAAGTATTTACAAAAACATTTTACATACATGATATTTGATTCTCAGTAACTAGAACAGGCATTACTATTTTTATATTACATAGAAAGTAACTGAGGTCCAAAAAGGTTACAAGATTGGCACAAGTTTATAAAGCTAGCAAGTGACAGAGCTGAAATTTTAACCCAGATTTGACTCTAAATTCTATCCTGCTTTCATTATACCAGCAGTTTCTACTGGCCAGTTTAAGAGGTGTTTAATCCTAAATCACTTGGCAGGTATTCTGTTCAGAGTATTCAAGTCTTGGATGGGAAACGAATAGATGACTTTCCCAGTCCTGAGAAGTTATAGAGCCTATTCATAAGTCACATGCTGTGAGAGAAAAACTAAAACAAAAGCCCCCGAAACCTAGAAGGAGCATGTCATCTGGGTGCACATCTATGTGACAGCATGCGGTCTTACTGTTGGCTACTCAAACTGTTCTCAAACTGAGGCTTTTACTCCCTTCTTATCTCTTAGAGCTGTTTTTAAGTTTCCACACTTCTGGGTTGTTTTTGTTTGATTATTTGTTTTTCAGTTGGAAGACCACTGGGGTTCTATACTACTACGAGTTTCCTCTTTTTCTTCTCTACCATTTTTAGGAAAATTATTAGTTGAGAAGCATAGATTATTTTGAGGACACTACATAAGAAATTTAGTAACAATGGTTGCCTCTGGAAGGGCAGAGAAAGTTTTCATTATATACTGTTGTGTATTGTAGGGGACTTATCTGGCATTGTCATGTATTATTTTAATTAGAAACGGTTAATAAAGTACATTTACATTGGATTGTCAGAAAAGTCATGACGTAGTTTTTCTGTTTTTCATTGCAAAAATGTGTCATGATTTTTCCGACAATCTAATATTTTACTGAGTAAAATTAAACTACTTCCTAGACCCTGACAAATAAAATTTCCATTTTCATTATCACTTATCTGAAAAACAAAGACATATATGTGGCTTGGAAGTGATTAGACTTGCTCACAGTACATTTATCATTCATTTAACATTATTAGAAATTGTCCTAACATTTCTATTGATGTACAGAAATTTACTTACACACAAAATGTTTGATCTTTGCAACCACACATTTTCAGTTTCTATTGCTGGCACACACATCTTTTTTTGCTAGGCTCTTCAATAGGAGGCATTTTTTTAAATTCAGCTTTTGGTCCTCTGTTTGTTCTTTCTTCCTTTGTTTATTACTCATTCTCATAACCCCAAAGAACTTCTATATTCTGATGTTCATAAGTAAATATTAAATACCTTTTCCCTCTCTTTCTCTGTTCTCTAAACAACTTCATAATCAGATTTATCTTTCTCTTTTCAAAAATTGTTATTGCTGCATATGAAACCACTATTCTTTAAAAAGTTATCTTTGACTCACCTATCATGTCACTCCTAATCCAATTGTTGACCAAATTCAGTGGGTTTTCCTCTTTCCATTCCTACAGGCAGTACTCTGTTTCAGATCTTGACCATTTTAATGCACATTATCACAAAAGCCTCCCAGCTGGAATCTGGAATTTTTTAGATTTCAGTGTCTCTCTCTTCAAACCCACATCTTTTGGGCAAATCTTATTAAAAACACTGCTGTCTTTCATTTTAACATTTCCTCAAAATTCCTCTGTCACTCCCTATTTCTAAATATCTACAAAAGGCTTTCATTTTTTTCTCAAAATTGATCTCACTTTAACAAACTCACAATTTCAACATCCTTTTCAAGGCCCAAGTCATTCTTCAAAGCCTATCTAAATTCTATTTTTCCCACAAAGCTTAGGATTAATATTTGTCATTGACTATCTGACTAGCCTTAAATTAGTACATTTTTAAAACTCTGTCCCATATAACTCAGCATTTAAGATGTCATTTTTTTAATTAAATTTTATTGGGGTAACAATGGTTAGTAAAGTTACATAGGTTTCAAGTATACAACTGACTCTGGGTGGTGAACACACAATGTGATACATAGATGATGTATTATAGATGTAATTATTTTTTTAAACTTAAGTCATAATTATCTCCCTCATCTAACCAGATTTTATATGATTTGACATCAGAGATCAGTTTCATACTTCATCTGTATCCTCAGCAAGTTCTTACAGTACTGAGGTCATAGAAGCATCCAATAAATTATTGTTGATTAATTAACAACAAAGGCAGTTTGTCCCCAGCAACTCTGGAAATAAAGTGCCACATTGATTGTTATCTTCTAACAACTTATCCCACCTTTTAAATATGAAACTGAAGAATTAAAAAAAATTAATACATATATAATACAACTCACAATTTATACATCTTCATAGTTTACAAAGTATGTTCACTTTGGCCTTCCAATATTCATGTGGAATCAATATTATTCTCTTTCTACAAATAATAAATCAAACTTATAAATATAAAGTGACTTACCCAAGGTCACATAGCTAGTAAGTGATAGAGCTAAATCATAAACCCAAATATTCTGTCTTCAAATCCAGCACTCTTTTTCCTGTATCTATATGTTCCCTCTTGAAAATGTGGTAAGGGGGGTGTGTGTGTGTGTGTGTGTGTGTGTGTGTGTGTGTGTGTGTGCTAGTTCTCTTTTTTGATGTTTCACCCTTTTTAATGCTTTAGATTTCATTATCAAAATATTTCATTATCATTAGAATCCAGTATACTATTTGTATATAAGTTTAGGCTAGTTTTTATATTTACAAAAAGTCTATATTTGGGATGATAAAAAATATATAAGCATCTGTCCTCCCAAAGACGCTTCTGACTAATGAGTCTCAAAATTGAAATAAATCACTAACCACACATCAGCAATCCTAGAACAATCAGAGGTACTGCAGTTGCATATAAAGCAAAGCCAGATGTAAAACACATGCAGCACTACCCGAGTTACAGATCACTGATATCAGGTAAGTGCTTTAACTTTGATTGGCTTTGGAATGGGATGGGTGGAGCTGGTCTAGGAGAGGCTATTAGGAGACATCTGTTTCCCCAAGTAATCTCCCCCCACCTCCCGAGACCCCAAAGGGACCCTCCCAGCTCAGCTTCCACCATCCTTATCAAAGTTTAAAGCACTTACCTGATATTAGAGCCTGAAACTCCAGCACTGCGCACTACATCTGGTTTACTTCCAGAATGTCAAGTGGGTACAGTTGCAGAATCTGCTCCGCCACCTGTAGCTGGATGTCAGCTGCCAAAACTAAAAATATTTAAGCTTAATTTTGTTAGGAGCTTATTTCAAAAATGATTTTTCAACATTAATAGTTTCATTTTAGTTACTCACCATTTGGATAGGGTGTTTCACATAAAGTTAGAAATTCAACAATAGGATGATCCATTTCAAGTACTGTAATTGCTTTTCCATGCATAATGGTTAAACTTGGTCTTCTGCAAGCTTTGTCATAGGACAGTCCACCAGAAAATATTATGAATGGTTCACTACATAGAAAAAAAAAAAGTCAGTAAGACTGAAAAGTCCTTTAAGATGACACAGTGTCACAGGACCGAGCCAATAAAGAAAGGTTTGGTGGGATAGTATATACATTGTAATTACACAGAGAGCAAAAGTGTTTCCTGGCCCAAAAAATTGGGTTTTCAGAAAAGTCATGACATTTTTCTATGATTTTCATTGCAAAAATGTATCATGACTTTTCTGACAACCCAATATTTCACCCTACAACTTACTATTTTTCTGGATGTACATACTCATGATTAAAATTAGTAATGAATCAGCCTTAAGGTGTGGAAGAGGGTGAGGGAAAGGCAGTGAGGATGGAGGGAGGTGGAGGTGCTCACTGACTCAAAAGGAAATCTTTACATGTATTCTTGGTTCTCAAACTCTAAATCACTACCATTAGAATATAGACTATGTTAGCTGTTCATATTAACTATTTGGCATGTGAGGCCCAAATCTCTAAGAGATAAAAGAGGCAAATTGCAATACGAAACAAAATGTGATAGTGGCAAACCCAGAATGGTAGAAGGTAACATGATAATTCTACATAATGGAGTTTCTGTGAAAAAAGGGTTATGGTAAAAAGGTGGAGAAAACTAATATGTAAGGGGAAAATAGTTCATCAAAGAAATGTGATCTTATTCTCAATTTTACCACAGGCCAGCCTGTCCTACTTAGTTTGTAAATTTAACTTCAAACAAATTATTTAGACTCCATTAGTTGCAAGATACAATTAGATAATAGAGTGGGATTGAGATGAGTATAAAATATTATAGCTGTTAGAAAGTTATGAAACAGCTTCATAATTTTTCACTTTTCTCAAATTAATACCTATATCTCTAGTATATGTACATTAAAAATAAGTGCTGGTATAAAGTATTTTCAATCAATAAATACCAAATTAAAAATATTCATCTCCAAAAAAATGTTTTATATAACTAGACACTTTTATTGTACCAAAATTTTAAAATTAAATTTATTGGGGTGACAATGATTAGTAAAATTACATAGGTTTCAAGTGTATAGTTCTATAATACATCGTCTATATATCACATTGTGTGCTCACCACCCAGAGTCAGTTCTACTTCCATCACCACATATTTGATCCCCTTTATCCTCTTCTACCATCCTCTTTCCCCTTAACCTCTGGTAACCACTAAACTATTGTCTGTGTCTATGAGTTTTTATTTTTTATTTGTCTTGTTCCTTTGTTGCCTTCACTTTTATACCCCACATATGAGTGAAGTTATATGGATCTTGACTCTTTCTGACTTATTTCACTTAGCATAATAATCTCAAGATTCATCCATGTTGTCACAAATGGCAGTATTTAATTTTTTCTTATGGCAGAGTAGTGTATATATACCATTGTGTATATATACCACATCTTCTTTATCCTATCATCTATGGAAGGGCACTTTGGTTGTTTCCATGTCTTGGCCACTATAAAAAAAGCTGCAGTGAACATCAGAGCACACATATCTTTACAGATAAATGTTTTCAGATTTTTGGGGTAGATGCCCAGGAGAGGTATTGCTGGGTCATATGGTAATTCTATTCTTAATTTTTTAAAGAACCTCCACACTGCCTTCCATAGTGGCTGTACCAATCTACATTCCCACCAACAGTGTATGAGGGTTCCTTTTTCTCCACAACCTCTCCAATGCTGCTTATTATTTGTCTTTTTGATGATAGTCATTCTAACAGGTGTGAGGTGCTATCTCGTGGTTTTGATTTGCATCCTTAATAGCTAGTGAAGTTGAGCATTTTTTCACATATCTGTTGGCTATTTGTATGTCTTCTGGGAGATGTTTCTGTTCATGTTCTCTGTCCATTTTTAAATTGAATTGTCTTTTTGTTGTTGAGTTGTATGAGTTCCTTATATATTTTGGATATTAGCCCCTTATTGAAGGTGTTGTTTGCAAAGAAACCACCAACAAAACAAAGAGACAGCCAAATTCTTTGAGAATATATGCTTCTGTAAGTAATTCACTTCCACTCATCTGGTAAACTGAAGAATTTACTTGTTTCTAGAAATCACTCCATTAAGATTTATTTCCCTCTCTCTTCCTTTTTGTACTGCACATAGTACCAAACATTACCAATAGGACATTTGCTAATTTTATGCTGGCTATATAACGAAGAAAAAAAGCTTTTTATTTTTCATTTTTATTTTTTTTATTGTTAGTTTCAGGTATACAGAACATACCCTTTTCACCCTTCACACAGAAGCAACCTCCCTCCCCCATCTATTTCCCTCCCACCCCTGATATCATACTTATCTATTACAATTCCATTGACTCAATTCCCACACTCTACTCCACATCCCGTGACTATATGTTTATATAATTATAGTTGACATACAATGTTATTCAACATCAGCTTCAGAAATACAGTGCGGTGGTCAGGCCTCTACACCGACTACAAAGTGGTCTCCCTAACAAGACATGAGTCCATCTGGCCCCCTAAAAAATATTTACAACATTATTGATTATATTCCCCAGACTGCCTTTTCTATCACTGAGGCCATACTGTAGTTACCAATTTGTACTGTCTTGTCCCTTCCCCTTCTCTTTCATCCCCACTCCCTCCCAACTAGCAACACTCAGTTAAATAAAAGCTTTTTAAAAGTTGCCATCAAAACCTACATATAAAATGCCTATACTAATTTTTCTTTGTATTCTGTCTTAATATTTTGAAATAAATTTTTGTGTTGTTAGTTACATAAGCAAAAATGCTCTAATTTATTTTCCTTGAGTCCTGCATAGATGACTTGAGTTCCTCTTGCCTCAATAATTTTTTTTGCTCTTTCAGCCATTTCTTATTATTCAGATTGTGTTCAATGCAAATCAATTCCATAACATGAGAGGTTACTATGAGTCAAAGCATAAATACAAAAATACAATACACAATCCAAAATAGATGTATAGCATTCAGGTATGAAACAAAAGGGAATGTTCATTCACACACACAGTAGCTTGAGATCTGTTGGATCTGGTGTTCCTGTGGTTTGTTTCTAAAGATGGAAAAAAAATGACTTTGGTTATCTAGACTACTATGACTGTATTAGATACTGGAACATCTAAGCAGCAGTGTGTGACCAAGTGAACAAAAGACTTTAGGGAGTGTCTATTTTTAAAAAGGTTTCTGTGCATCAAGGCAGTTGTGAAAAGATTTACTTTCCAGAATCAAGTCCACATTAGGCTTAGGATCAGGTTCTATCTAAAAATATTGAATGATAACAGAGAGTGTTCCAAATGTCACTATTCTGATTCATAGTTTTTAAAGAAAAGTATATACAGAAAAAGTATAAAAGTTTTTCTGAATTTAAGTAAACTTCCAATCTTCACTTTCCAAGCACCTGATTTACAGTTTTGGCTACTTCACATATTTGCCTTTTGAATTTTAAGATTTGTCAATTTTACCTTCAAAACGTACTATTTTTTAAATTGTAAAACGTATTCAACATACGCAGAAATAAAAAGCATTTTGAAATTAGTTGAAGTCAGTGTACTTCTACTCTTTGGAATTAGTTTAGCTAAATGATGAATCCAGTTCTCTTGAACAGGAATAAGTGATAAGTATATAAACAAAATTTACTCATTATGCTTGGATTTGGGGTAGATTCCAATCCATCATTGCTCCGGCACATGTCAATTACTATATAAAAAGTCAAATGCAATGTCCAATCCAAAGCCTCAATGGAAAGAGTTCAGTTACCAAGAGACCAGTGATAGCTTAACAATGTAAAACCTGATCTAGAGTTACATCAACATTAAATTAGTACTGTGAAACAATACACTGAGGATTTACTGGAACACCTGAAAGTTCCTTCTAATGTACATATTAATAGAATCATGGAAGCTTTTTGCATTACCTGTTTTATGGTCATATCGCTTTAATGAACCAAATGAAAACTGATTCTGTTTGTTCCAAATCCCATCCTTTATCTCTAGATAAGAAAAAATCTATTTGTTTTTCAAGGTACTTTTTGTGTCCATACTTCTTAAGCCACATTAAGGAAATCATCTCTTAACTAATTTTGGATGTGTCTCTCTTCATCTTGTACATGAAACTCCTGCAGATTTAATATTGGCAATCATCTAGTCAAGCCCTGCCTATGTTCTTCAAACCAATGAAATCTGAGGTCCTCAACATTTTCTGTATCAATAAAACAAGGTGTGGAATTAGCAGATTTAATGAAGACCTTTTTTTCCCTTATGACACCAGATGTCTAGAAGTCCTTTGAATTGAGTTTATAAGATAGGGACGTACAGATATTTCTTGGTCTGTCTCTTAACAATAGAGATGTAGGAGGGAGAAGGAGATCACCAAGAAACTAGCTGTTGATACAGAGCAATGCCACTTGCCTTGGTGGTGGCATTCACTGGACTTCAGGTAGTGGAAGTACTGTGGGTGGGGTTACTTGAAGGTGATACAGGAGCTGTTTGATTTGAATAAATCTGCATGGGTAGGAGCAGCGCCAGAAGCAGCAGCTCCAGGCCCAGCCTGGCTACCATCGCTCTGCCCATGTCCACTCTGTCATTGCACGGCGCATCTCACTGGATACGGGGTGCGTGGAGAACTGAGGGCTCCAGGCGGGTGCAGGCAAGGTGGGGCTTGCTTCAGTAATTTGACATAGTAAATTACTAACCTACTAATGGCGGTATTAAGAAACAATTTTGTTATTTATATAAAATATATACTTATTAAGAAGATTTCTCCAGGTTTAAAAATCACTTGTAAAGAAATGAGTATGGGTTTTTGTACCTTTGTTTGTTGCTTTGTTTTGCAACACAGGTGATGACTTGGAGAACAATATTTTTTCATACATATTGATCTTAATATTTACCCCAAATATTAATAAAGACCATAACTATCTACTTCTATCCATGTAAAAGTAGATAAATTTACTCAACTCCTAGTACTAATACATGCATAGGATAAGAAGCAATTTACTCTCCCTAGTTTTTGTAAGCACATT